AGGATCTTAGAAAGGGAAGCAGCGATCACCAGAACCAGAACCAGCTATGCCAAGAGCAAGACCTTGAGTCAAGCCGCCTTCCCTCCATCCTGTTTGGATGTGAGGGTCCCTGGGCCATGACTTGGGTCAGAAGAATGCTATCCATGTCGAAGACCCCGATTTGCACAGATTCACCTTAAGCAAATTTGCCCATGATGACTGATTCATAGGCACATGGGGCCCAGTGCTGACCTACAGGATGACTCGGTGACAGGCCCTGGGCCTGTGTGGCCCTGCTCTGCCTGACAAGTTGGATGGAAACTGATAAAGGACTAGTCATGGCTTCAGATGACAAAACTGGGTCAGGCCAGAATGACGACCGAGAAGGAATTTAGTGTGGGCAAATGCAAAGCTTTGCACTTGAGTAACCAAGGTCACTCGACATGATCACAAATGAGACAAGTGCTTCAGAGCAGCTCACGGAGACAAGTCTGGACACTCTGCAGGCCTGGGACTCCACACACATCTACTGGGTGAGGGGCTGCTCAGGGCATGAATGCATCTGTGGATGGCTGTGCCCCCAGACCCCACAGACACCCTTGCTTTCTGTGCACCCCTCCCTTGGGACAGGGCCTACAACCCCATGCAGACACTTGCCCCAGGGCTCCTGGAGCTTCGTAGCCTGCCTGCCCCAGCCAGGAGTGTCCAGAACTATGCCCCACCAGCATACCCCTGGTCCCAGTGGCCTTTACTTGAGGTAGAGTCTGCCCCAGGACTCCTCTGTGGGACCTGGCCAAGGCCAGGATTCTACCTGAAATCACACCCTTGGTGGCTGCTATCGCTTTCCTACCTTGCACTCCCCACTCCCCTTTCTTTAGTCAACCCAAAATCCTCATCCTAGCACCAGCTTCTGGGAGTCCAGCCGCAGACTATTCTCCATGGCCATGGCCGGAGTACAAGTGTCCTAAGCGGGGTATGAAGCACAGGGTGAAGGACCTTGAAGGGGGCTCTGAATGAGGACTGGCCAAGGAGATGGGATGTGACCTTGATCACAGCCAAGTTGGTCAGGCAAGAGCTAGCCCCTGCCTGTGGCCAGGGCAGTAGGTCCAAGTAAGTGGCACCCCACAACACTGGCACGTGTGGCGAGCCCCAACTCGGTACCAGCTGCTTTATGTGGGTTATTCCATTTAATGCTCAGAGCAAGCCTACGAAGGAGGCATGATTCATCATATCATCGTGAGGACATCGAGGACACTGAGGTCAGTAACTTGCCCAAGCTCTCATGGCTTTGGATGAGATCCAGGATTCGAACTCAGATTGTAGACCACTAAGCTGTGGTCTACACTGCCCCCCCCACAATGTCCGAGGTGTCAGGATCGGCATTCGGAGGCCCCGAGGGACCCCATGAAATAAGAATGCAGCGCTTCTGGGGACAGAGACCCAATCCAGCAGATACGGGAGGCGATGTCACCATGTGAGAGGACCATTCCCCGCTTTTCCACACCCACCCCCACCCCCCATACACACTGGGAGCTCCGGTGGGGAGTAGCCTACACTCTGGCAGCAGTGGCTTCTCCCTCAGAATGGACTAGTAACTCCCTGTAAGGGTAACAGCAGCTTGGGGCTTGGCAAGAGATGCGTGCCCTGTGTCCTGGCCCCGCCCAGAGGTGATAAGCTCCAGGAAGCCAGGCTTCAGCTGTTGGGGCCCTGAAGGCTGCCAGGAAGGAGAGAACAATGGACAGAAGGGAGGAGTCCCTGGAGAAGAGGAGGCAGATTCCTGCCTGGTGGGGGAGCTCGGAATCTAGGGTGGCTGCTCCAAAGGACAAAACCTACCAGAAAAAAAAAAAAAGACCAGCCAGGACCGTGGACCCTTCCCCGACGAAGCTCTGACCTCCAATACTTTATTTCAAATTCAAAACAAAACAACTGTACAGATAATGAAATCCACCACCTCCCAGAGCAGGGCCTGAAGGGGACCCAGAGAGGCTGGTCGGACATCTGGAATCTGAGGGGAGATCTGTAAACTAAGCTGGTGGCCTTGTCTTGAGTCCCTAAACCACAACTGGTCAGGCCTGGCCAGGGAGGGGCCACGGCAAGGGGATGGGGGTGAGGGGTTCATTCTGCAGGACAAACTCAGGGATTCCGCTGCAGTCACTCTAGGTAAGCCCGCTGGCCGAGGCTGTGCAGTCTGGCCTGTGAGTCCACGGCCAGGGCAGCAAGCCTAACCAGGAGGGTCTGATGGGGGCCCCAGCCATGCACAGCCCCGCGGCCCGACACACCTGGATTCCAGTACCACCCTGCAAACATTTATCTCGGGCATGATGAGTTGGGTGGAAGGTTTGGCTAGCCCTTCCCATTCAGGGCCCAGCCCAGCCCAGCCCGCCATCCTGGCACGCCGGGTGCAGCCTAGAAGTGGCACAGCTTGGCATCCATCAGCCGAACAGAGAATGAACTCGTGGAAATTTGCATATGACAGAGAAAGTCTCTTAAGGGTTTCACTGGTCCCAGCCAAATATCCTGGCATGTGACCCTTCACCTGCCTCCTCACCTCCTTTTGTTCAAACTAGAAACCTCAGCCTCCTGGAACTCCTCCTTTCCGAATCCACTGCACGATGTGTGTGCGTGTGTATGTGCACGCGCGTGGCCCGAGCCCCAGCTTCCATCTCCCCAACAGGCCCCTCCTTGGCTCGCACACCACATCCCCCTGGTCCCCTGCCTCCCACCTCTTCTATACTAATCTCTCCAATGGCAGCCAAAGGGATGCTTCTAAAATGAAATCTGGCCCCACCACCCTTTCCACAGCAACCCTGAAGTCCCTTTCCTCAATCACACCTGGATCCTCACCATAGGGGCCCCTTGCTAGCCTCCCAACCCAACAAACACCCCGACACACCTGCATTGCGGTGACTCACCATGGCATGAGCAGGACAGGCACCTCCATGTCTCTGACCAGGCTGTCCCGTGTGCCTGGTGTGCCTCTCCCCACTGTCCACCTGCCCAGCCCCACTGTGTCCTCAAGACCCTGCTCAGTTGTGGCCCTGTGTGATAGTGTCCTCCCCACTCCATTTCATCTCATCTCGTGTCCCCACAGCTGGGGGTCCCGGAGCCCCTGTGTAGCACCAGGCATGAGGGCAGCCTGGTACCCACGCGTCACCCTCCCGAGTGTGATGTGCCTGCCCCATAGAACACACAGAGGTACAGACAGGCCCAGGCCCCCAAGCTGCACAGTGCCCAGAGCCAATGAATGCATGAAAACCTGCTTGATCGAATTTTAACAGGGGGGCAAGATCAGGTCCCCTCCTGCCCACACCAATCCCCTTTGCCCCAGCCCCACCCTCAGAAGCAGTACTGATGTGCTGTCATTTTTAAGCAACAGTTGGAAAGGCGTGTTTTGGGGTAAGAAAGCCCCATCCTGGGGCCTTGGGAGGCACTCTGACCTCATGCATACTTCCCTCACCTTGTTCCTTCGGCCCATCAGAGTGTCACCCCTGCTTTAAAAAGTCAACCCACTGCTGCAGGAGTCATTTCCACCACCGTCAGTACGGGGGCCTTGAGGTGGGGAAAGGTAAGCCAGTTGGCAGGTCCCGGGTTCCTCAGTATAGGAGGAGGCCAGGGCCAGGTCATGGGCAGAGCTGTATGTGGGCCCAGACTCCACCCTCCCAAGCCACGGGACCCTGAGCAGCACCCTAACCTGTCTCCCTCTTAAGGGTAGGTTGGCGGATTGTCCCAGGAGCTTAGGATCTTCAATGTTAAGCCCCAGAATGAGGACACAAGCCTGTGCCCAAACTCCACAGGAGTTTGGGAGATCCTTGGGCAATGAAGTCACGCTATGCCAAGCCTGTGTCTTGAGCTCCCTCACCCTGTGATCCCCGGTCCCCCATTGCCTGGCCCATTTCAACTCACAGGGGCAGGACTGGGAGAACAGGCCCACAGGCCTCCCTGCTCCCCACAGCCTCCCAGCTCTGGCCATTTCCCACCAGGTGAAAGACCCCACCCCAGGCTCTTCCCTTTTTCCCATCCATTTCTCCCATCCCTCTTTCCAAGGACAGTACCAGCTGGGAATAAATCCTTAAGCCACAGGAATGAGGTTGACAGTGGTGTGATTCCAGGCATTGCCAACACATTTGGGGCTAAGGAGCTACCTGTCCTCCCCTTCTTGAGACCAGCCCCTGACACAATGACCAACAAGGGGGCTGGCTCATAGCAGCACCCCCAGCCCTCCTATAATGCTCAGTGCCCTGGTCCTGATGTGTACCCCACCTCCCACATGCAGTCAGCTCAGCAAGGGTGCAGACAGCCTGTCTCATTCCCCAAGGAATCCACAGAACCCCGCACAGAATACTGACTCAATGAATTCTTCTTTCGTGACTGCACTGCACTGACCAGCCATGTGCTGCAGGGAAAACAGCACAGCCTTCAGCCGGCCTTGGCTTTGAATCTTAGCCCACCCCCTCCAGCATGCCAGCCCAGGCCTGTGAGCTACAGCCTTGCCAAATACCCGAGGTTTCATCCAGAAATGGGGCAAAGAGGTGGGCACTCGACAAGGTAAGGTGACAAGCACAGTGTTTGGCACATAGGAGGTCCTCAACAATGTCAGTGCCTTTCCCTAAAGACCCAGCCAGTCCCTGTCACTTGGGGCCCCAACTTTCATGTCAGGAATGTGTTATAGCTCAGCACTGCTTTACGATAAAGCCACCAAGAGTCCTCGGGGGGAAATCATGGCAGAGTTCTGAGGAGAGACTACACAGAACGTCCAGTATCTTTACAGAAGAATCGGGATCTCCCTTCTGCACAGTGCTGAAAGTCTGTCCCCAAGTTCGGAGCCTCGATGTGCAGAGATGTGGCTCTTGGGAATCAAGCCCTTCAAAACCAGCCTAGCTGCGAGGAGCAGGAGGCCCCCAGGCTGCAGAGACACGTCCATGGCCGCCAGCAGGTCCAAGGAGCACGGTGCCCCCTCCCCCCGTGTCCCGGGCCTGGGGCTGAGTCCACGGGCCGAGGATGGCTCTGAGGGCCACGGCCCTTCACTCGGGAGCCGCGCTGGGGCAGCCGCAGCAGCTGGGGCGCCGCAGGGACTGCATGACGGCTCGCAGTGGCCCCCTCCGGCCCTCCGCCGACAGGCTGTCCTCGCTGGGGGGCGCCCGCTGCAGCTGCTCAAACTGCATCTCCAGATGCTTCTGGATGGCCACGCCGAGCACCTCAGGGTCCACTGCAGCTCCGTACACCTCCCAGGTCATGCCCTCAGCATCCCATCGCACATCCCGTATGGGGGAGGGTGCCTCCTCCAGGCCGGCCCCCAGGGTTACCTCCGGGAATGTGTGCAGGGCCATGGGGGCTTCCAGGGGCGGGCTGGTGGCCACAGCCTTGCAGACCACCATGGGCACTGCCTGCACACCAGCATCCTGAGCTGACAGAGAGGATGCCAACACAGGGGCCAAGTCACTGGCTGAGGTCATGGTCCACACATCCTTGGTCCTGGCACCAGGCTCCGTGGCTAACCCGGTGGGACCCCAAGGGTGGTGGGCACAACAGTGGGAATGCCCAGGGAGCCCCCCAGGCAACCTGCACTGGAACTGCACCCCATGCTGAGCCTGCAACCCAGACTCACTCACAGATGCCACTAGTTTGGGAAAGGCCAGGATCCCTGGGGCTGGCAGGGCATGGCAGCAGGCACTGGTCCCCACTTCCCTCATACCACAGAGTAGAGCTGCTGGGGACAGGGTGTGGCAGGTGGTGGTGGCCGGCTGCCCAGTGCCTTTGGGCCCGGCCTGGGGGCTACTGCTGTGGGGAGCTGTCCCTCCCAGCTCTAGGGGCGTTACCCTCACCTGACTCTCTCCCAGTGTCCAGGCTGAGTTCGAAGTCCCTTCCTCCGGAGCCAGGTCCCTTTCTAGGCCCGCAGGGGCCTGGCCTCCCTGGCCAGAAGTACGGCTGGGCTGCAGCCGAGCCCTGTGGACAGGTGAGCTGCCAAGGGCCGAGCAGCTGAGGCTGGCCTTTTGGGTGACACTGTGGCCCCGGGTCTGGGTGCTACGGACCAGGTCCGAGTGGCTCCTCTGCATGGCAGCGGCACCGGAGGCCCTCAGGCGACACAGATCACTACCGCCCACGGTAGACACGTTGGCCACAGTGCTGCTCCGCCAGTGGCCCACAGCGCGGGGCCGGGGGCTGGAGGCCTGTGGCTGCTCCGCGCCCTCAGCGGGCTGCCCCTCTTCCTCCAGGCCCTGTGGACCGCTGCTGGCCTCGCCCGGCTGGGCCTGCCACACGGTACTGCTGGCACTCTTGCGGAGCTCTGGTCTCTGCCCCCGGCCTTCACCCAGCAGGCTGGAAGAGCTCCGGGACAGGGGCAGTGGGCGGGGCCTCCGGGGGGGCCGGGCACCCGGCTCGGGGCGGCTGGTGCTCATGGCGGCCTGCAGGAGAGAGAGGGAGGGAATGGAGCTGAACTGTGTGCAGCACCTCAGCTGGGCACCTCCGTGGGCTCACGCGGTGCTAGGCACACTGGGGGGACAGCTGCAGCCCCAGCTGCCTGATGGCTCAGAGCTGTGAGCGAAACAGTGACAGGACACCAGACACTTCAAATCAAGATCAGCACACATTATACTGCAAGATGTCCCTGCAAATATCTAATAACCGGTACCAAGCGATTAGAACCAGCCCTAGCATAGGGTCCTAGAGACCATCCACACACCAGCTGCATTATGTGGCGAGAGCAGAACCTAGGGGAGAGGCCTAGTTTGCCAGGACCTTGGGGTGGGACTGCAGCACTGGGGGCGGGGGCTTTGGGACAGCAACTCTAGTCAACCAGCACAGGAGTATTGCAGTCTTTTAATAACCAGTAAAGCTTGACTGGCAAATACTAGCCTGGTTCCTCCCAAAACTGTCCATATACATCTTGCTCTGGACTGGGGCCTCCCTGGTACAGAGCTGGGGCTCAAAGGAGGGCTGTGAGATGAACAATAAACAGAGGACAGGCTGAGAACGACCCTGGGTTCCCACTCCCCACCCCGCCCCCTTTCCCACCCTCTAGGGCCTGGCCTGGTTGAGCTGTCCGGTCTCTGGGACTCAGTCTTGGCAGCTGTGAAGGGGAAAGGGGTTTTCTGACTCCCACCTCTGGCTCCGGGGTTAGGGAGAGGCCCCACGCATCAGCCCTTTACACGCAGAACACGCTCAGCATACGTTCACTCATTCCACAGCCGTCTCCAGAGCACCCCCCGCCCGCCAGGCTCTGGACTTGGGAGACCCAGAACTAGCTTGGATCTAGCTGTGCCTCTGGGAATGTGGTCTAGTATCACCAGTCAGACATGCCCTCCATAAAATTTCAATTCCCTCTTGCCAAGCATGCCTGCACCCTCCTTGCCTCCCTCCCTCCCTGCCATTCCTGTCCCTTCCTCCAGCCACACAGACCCCTCCAGACCTGCTCACTGACTCATCCACAGCCTAGAGTCAGCACTGGCCCCTTCAACCTCAGCGTCTCCTCCTGGAGCAGCTTTCCCAAGCTGGACTGGCTCCCTCTCTGGCTGAGCACTGTCTGGCCCGGATGGAACAACCTGGCCAACCAAGGGCCTCCCACCAACCTGAAGCTGTCAAAGCAGGGCGGTGGCCCGTACCCCTTAGTCTACCCAGCACCCAGCACTGACCTGACACTGGCACTCAGAACGGCCGCCACGGGCCTGACTGAGAGAACCCGAGAACACAAGAGTAAAGCCACTGGGGAAAGGGCTGAGTGCCAAAAATGGGGTATGAGAGAGGGCATTTCCAGGAGAGCTCACTTTGCACGATGATCAGAAAAGGCCTGCTGGAGGCCCAGCCATGTAAGTGGGGCCCGGGGCGAGAGGAAGGAGAAGGAGCCAGGGGAGAAGAAGAGGGTGAGCACAAGGCAGGGGGCACACGAGGGGAGGAGTGGGCTGGAGGCCGGACAGGGCCGCAGAGCGAGTAAGGTGGGGGGCAGGGTATCTGGGCTGGCCTGGCCCCAGCCAAAGCTGTGAATGAGGACTCCTCCCCCGGGACTCCCTGCCAGGCAGGACCAGCTGGGGAAACAGGGTGGGAGAAGCAGCACAGCTACAGCTGGGGCAATCCTGGCCCTGCCCGTCCACCCCTGGGCTGATAAGAACTACCAAGAAAGCAAGCGCCTTGGCCAGGTAAGCAAGGCCACCCGAAAGAGAACGTGGGAAGGGCTCTCAGGAACTCGGTTTCTATGTAATTACCGACTTCCTCTGCCCCAGCACTCAGGAGACGGCTGTTGGCTGTTGAACAGTGAGGATGCTTCTGGAGCTGCAGTCCCCTGAGAGCTCAAGGCTTGCTCTGGAGTCCAGTTTGGCACAGTTTCCGTGAGGATGGAAAGATTCTACATGGCACTGCCCAGTACGATCAGGCCTGGCCACGTGCAGCTCCTCAGCCCTGACAGGTGGCCTGCATGAGTGAGAAACTGGCTTTCCGATTTCACAGCAATGTAGGCCATTTAAATGTAAATGGCCACATGCGCTTAATGACTCCCCTACGGGACTGTGCAGCTCTAGGCCCAGCTCCAGCCTGCACAGGAGCGCCCCCTTCTGGCTGCTCCTCAGGGCCGAAGCCAGACTGGTCCCTGGCATCAAGAAAAGGATGAACAGCCAAGGGAGGACTAGAACCCAGGCCCTGCCCTCAAGGAGCTCTAAGATGGATGTATATACAGAGAAGGGCAACAAAACCAGTAACAGTCACAGTGATGAGAATAATAAAGAACAGCTCCCAGAGCCCCGTCACCCGCCCTGTGCCAGGCACATGCCGCACCCCGTCTGCGCACTGGCTCATTTCAGTGTAATTGTCAGAGCAGCCTCGTGAGATACATCGTCAACCCCATCCTACAGATGAGGAGGCCAAAGCTCAGAGAGGTGTCCTGACTTGCCCGTAGGCACACGGCTGGTGAGCAGCTAAAGCCAGGACCCAAACCTGGGAGTGTCTGAGCACGGCACAGACCTCTCTCCTGGAAGCTAACACCCTCCACTGTCTCCATCTCCTTACTTTCCTGTTGCCCTGACTCGGCTGAAGCCCCAGCGCCCAACACTTGCAGTCGTGCCCATGACATGCCCGTGGAACGAGGGTATGAATGGGAACAAAGCCTGGACCCCCACCTCCACCCCACCCACTTCTTGGCAGATTCTTAGGCTGCCCAGAGTCAGGAGGACAGGAGACGCCCCTGCTAGCTGGGAAAGCTGTGGTCACCAGCAGCCCCTGGCAGGCAGACAAGCACCCCGCTGCAGGTCCAAGAAGGCCGAGAAAGCCCCATCTGGACAACCTACACAGCCTCTGGCTGAACCCCACTGACCCGAAACCCTCCTAGGGAGCAGGGCCAGAGAGAGCCAGGTCAGGCCCTGGCCCCCCTGAGGAAACAGGTGAGATGAGGCTGAGGGTACCCTCCGACCCCTCCAGGAGCTAGTGAGAGGCCACCAGTGACAAGGGTCCTGCTGTGCCCCCCTCACCAGATGGCCGCCTCACCAGGACTAGGCATCACCCAGAGAGGGCAGTGACCACAGAGACCACAGGCCAGTGGCTATCTGGTGCTTCCCTTCTTCACCTCACCTCCACAAGTGGCAGGTGACAAACCTGAGGCCTGGAACAGCTGAGAAATTTCAGAGAGCCCACAACTGAACCCCAGCGGGGTATTTCTCCTACAGCCTGGCCTTCCCAGCCTTGAAGGAGGGAAGCACTGTGAGGTGTGAGCAAAGTCACCCAGCTTATCCCGGGGAAAGGAGGTTTCCCACACCCCCATCACTAAGAAGAGGGGCCTCCCAGGGAGCGAGAGGAGCTGACCAAAGGAGCTTTGGAGCCGTGGGCGAGCAGGCGGGGCAAGGGGTCTGCTCTAACCGATTCCTCCCTTTCCTGTGCACGTGCCCTCAGGTGGACACCTATGCTCCCTGAGCCACAGTCTGCCCAGTCTGCAAAACAGAAGTAAATGCCCACTGCAAGGTTGCTGTGAAGCCTAATATGACTGTACACAGACTGAGTAGCAACTGTTAATAATAATCTTCTCATTCCTCCTCCCATCGGGAGTGACCTGCGCTCAAGGTATCACAGGGACTAGGAATGGGGGACAAAAGGCCCTTTTAGGAAGCCATCGAGATATCCCATAGGTGAGCCTAGTCTCGCTTCCCAGTCCTCCCTGTCTTCCTCTCATCCTAGGACCTAGTCACCACCAGGGTCCCCAGTGTCTCCATCACAGCACTAAGCTTCCCAGTCTATTTTAAAATTAATTTGGGAGGATACACATGCCCATGCTTGTACACACACATATGCAGACACACACCCAAGTTTGGAGTCTTCATTCAAACTGCCCCGAATGGCACACGCATCTACCTTAAAAACCATGGAACAGGCTCTGGTTTCACCCCAAACAGACCCTAGAAAGATGTTTTAGCACAAAATAAATGACAGGCACATGGAGCTATCCAAGACCCCTAGTGTTCTTTGGATGACACCTTACTGTCCTCTCTCCTGCCCCATTTGATACCAAAGTTGCAGTGTGGCCATGTCTTGTGGCCAGTACAGGACTACTGCTCAGTAAATGGAAGAACAACCAGCCTCATGCAGCAATCAACCAATGTTATTTTGAGTAAAACCTCCCAGCCCTGCAGAACCTTCCAAACTGGCCCAACCAAAAACAAAAACAAAAACAAAAACAAAAACAAAACAAAACAACAAAAAAAAACCTGCTAGGTTGACTTGGTCAGAGATTCTAGCTCCTGCCATATCACCCAGCAGAGGGGCCCAGGCCTTTGCGAGTGTGGCCAGGGGGACTACCAAAGCCACTGCAAGCAGGCCCTGTCTCAGACCACCCTGTGGCATCCATATACATCTCCTCTTGTTAAGAGATAGGCATTTGGATGATGATTTCTGCTTCCAGCAAAACCAAAACAAGAAAAGCAAACCCACATGGTCAGGAGGGGAACTGCTACAATGTTAAAATATGGACCTTACCCCTCAGGGACCTGGTAGGGATACACACCACAGGAATCCCTGGTTGGATAGTGGGGGTGTGGCAACCTCCTGCAGGTCATCTGATCAATCCCAGCAGCAAAAGGGGGCCTGACAGGACCACTCAAGACCAAACTTGAGCAAGGCAGCAAGGAGCATTCCTGAGCTACCGAGAGGGATTGTTTGGAGGGGACAAAATCTGCCCATCACAAGCTGTGCCAGTAAAGGGTTCTAGGATAACTGTGGGCAAAGGCCCAAAGGACCAAGCACTGCTCACCAGAGAGCGGCCCAGGCCCCCACCAGCCCCAGAGCTTCCTCCCCTGAGGATGATTTGCCCATACTTCCCAGGAGGCACCTGGGGTGGAGAAGGTAAACCTAAAGGCCCAGGTGCCCCAAACCAGAGGTAGCCCGGGTAGCTAGTGTGTCCCTACCTGTATGCTCCTGGGCACCCATG